TATAGTAAATATAAGAACATTTAAAATATTTTATTCATACATTTATTTAACAATAAGTTTATCTCTAATGAGCGTATCTTTAAGATCAATGTATAGCTTAAACCAGAAGTCGGCGCTTGTCTACAAAAATATCCAAAAATAAATTAAAAATCATAATTTTATTTCTAAATTATATTACAAACCATTGTCCGCTTTTTATCAAACTCCACACCAGGTATGAAGGGTTCACTAGTTTTCAAATTGAAATTAGCAAAAAACACGAACCCATACATTGAAAACACTTTGACTTCCTTAAGGATGTGTTCACAAGAATTTCTGTCATCCCTTCGAAACCCTTCGCCCAATAGTTTCACCGATTCCTCGATATAGCACTCAATGAATGGCATAATATTCTGGTCGGAGGGGAAAGGGGTTTTCGGGGCGAACTGACTCATACCTCTGCCCCACTCCATGAATAGACTACCAAAATCATAGCCCCTGTAGTTATAGCTCGAGTGCTCAAAATCACAGAATACTATGCCATCAGATTCTGTGACCATTATATTGGATCCCCGAAAGTCTATGTGACTGAAGGCTATTGGGGAATCAGTTTCGGTGATAATCACCTGTAGTTATAGCTCGAGTGCTCAAAATCACAGAATACTATGCCATCAGATTCTGTGACCATTATATTGGATCCCCGGAAGTCTATGTGACTGAAGGCTATTGGGGAATCAGTTTCGGTGATAATCCTCTTAAGCCACTCCAACTCCTGTCTCATATCGTATGCCTTTAATGTCTTACAATCGCATTCATCGATCAGTGATTTCAAGTCAAACTTATCCAACGCCTCGTTGTTTAAGTCGAAAATGACGTCAAAGAAACTGTTGCCTGACTTCCGGATGGGGACAGACATGGCGTGCATTTTGGCCAACTTCTGGGCCAACTCTGTCACCAGTTTTGGGTTGTTTTGGTCTTCGGTGCGAAAGTTTTTGTGCTATAATTAGACCCAAAAAATATGTAAACATTTAATAGAAAATTAAAACCTTTTTTCCAATACCTTATGATAACTCATGATTTGTCCCCCATTTGAGATGCCGTACACTTTTGGCCCCAAATTGTGTTCAGACATCATGAGCGCCACCACTGTATCCTTAAGCCGATTGCTGCCATCGGTGCTTACATTTTTGAACAGCTTCTCCTGATATAAGATTATCACCACTTCTTGTGGTACATCAGTGTCATCACATCTATGGTCTTCATTGACACCGCAATAGTATAACTGATTACTGAAACCACCGCTCAGTCGCTTCACTTCGATGTCATCGATGGATACCTCCGTCCAAACGCCTCCTAAATACAGTCCACATAAGGAATGGCATTTTTGTTTGATATTAGGAGGTGTGGACCCCCTCTGGATCATTGTATAGTCATTCTCAACGGTTTTTACGTCCTTGCTTGTATTTGCACTCATTTTATTACTAACTATGTATTAAACTGTACCTAATAACTGTAAAATAGAAATTTTATAATAATTTTCTTATTTTTGCGAATTAATTTATACTAACCTTTTATGCCATTGTATGACCTTGTTTACTTGCAAATTTGTCATGATTGATATGAGTATAATCAAATTCAAATTAAGTTCAATTGCAAAAAATAGTTTACAAATACCAGATGCCTTTCGTAAACACATTAGTATAATGGGATTTTTTATTTTATTCAAATATTCATTATAAATTTTATAGACATTATTACGTAATATATTATTATGTTTACGTGAAATCTCTGTATTTTGTAATTTCTTACATTTATATGATATAAATTATATCTGATATACTTTTAATCAGTAATATTTATGCATACTAGTAAATAAATGTGACTTTAAAATGTTGTCATAATATTTTGATGTATATTTATATTTACAAATAACATATTATACAATGAACTTAAAGTTTTAATTTATTATACAATTTTTTAATTATGTAACAGAAATGGTGATAATAGTACGCAAAAGGAAATAAAACATGAGACCATTGCATACATATGTGAAGAACTCGTAGTTATTCATTGGAAACAAGTCATAGCAATAGAAACCAATGTCTCGACCGGACAGGTGCTCAATGAATGCCTGTATTTTCATGTGTCGTCGCAATAGTAGCCTATTATGAGTGAGATATGTATAAAACTTTTGCCGACTTTTATGGGCACTTCTCGTAACCAAAGTACAGACATAATTGATTTGAAGCATAGATAAGGAGACAGTTATTACCAATGATATTAACACAACTTTAAGACCTGGCTTAGTATTCGGATGCTCAAACGCGTAAGCGTATAGATTCATAATAATCGGTACAATAAAATATATATCCATTATAACATATTTTAAACATTTATTCATATTATATACTAATCTTGATAATAAAATGTGTTGAGATATAAATTTAAATAATTGGTTAAAGTTTTGGTTTCCAATGCATGTGTCAAAAGCAATGTTAATCTGACAAAATTGGTATTTAATATGAATTATAGCCAAATACCAAAAGGCAATGCCTGCTGTCATGAAATAAGATTTATGGACAATCCATATAAGTATTAATATACTCCAGAATATTGTTATAATGAATGAATAACCATTATCCTGGTCACAATAAGCCATAATATTAGGAGCAACCATGATACATGACAGGAATGGTATTAAATTCAATGGCATCACCTTTAATAAGATTCTTGACACTATTTTGACATCGAAAGCAAATTTACGATAATTTTTGTCATTTAATATAATAATTGTTTTATTTTGCTTAATATCATTCATATGAACAAAACTATCTACTTTGTTTCCCACTTCAAAATAATGTACTGTTAATTCAACCATTAGATAAACTAATGTTAACAGGGTTAGCGCTGCTGAAAATAATTTCCTGCTCCCCATCAAATAATTACCATCACATAATAATTGATTAAGCACCGGTATGTCGAATATGGTTAGCAGGGCATTTCGAATTAGTAATAAAACGGCTATCATTTGTATGCATAATATTTTTGCAAACCTTTTGGTCAGTTTGTTATGATTGTGACAATAGTGGTGAAAGTTTGGTGATATAAACACATCATATTTTTCAATCATGCGCTCAATTTGAGTCAAACCATTGTTTACATCATTTCTTACATTGATGACCATGGTCCTTCTCTTAAAAACAGATCTTGTTTTTTCCATTGATACGTTTTTAAACAGTGAACTTTGAACATTCAATTGGTAAACTTTGTGTTAACATAACTAAGTTATTGTTGTAACTTAATATATTCTCATAAAAATACTTTTAACTTTTATGCGAACTTTCCAATTATAATAATAATTATTATTATTTCAATGCTCAATGACATATTTTCAATTAATGTATTAGCAAGTAATACAATTATAATTAAAATATAGTTATATATTCATTAATGTGTTTTTTATTTGTGTTCGTTAAATTAAGTAAACAATAATAATTAATATATAGCACTATTATCTGTGAATATCATCATTGAAATAATAACGCTGAATACAACTAGAATTAATGCTTTAATATACTTTATGTACTCTGTTCTTGTTGACTTATTTCATATTTATTGCTAAATAACATATGGAAACCATTATAAATTATAAAATTAATTTTTTAAGAAACATAAATAAGGTAATATTAAATATAATTGGTATTGTAAAATTGACAGCTTGAAAATAAAGCATGTATAACTCATAGATAATACTGTAATTGAATAATAATTTGTTATGTATAAAATTTATACTATAAATTATACAGTATAATTATAATGTTTTTAGATATATTTTTATGTAAAAGCAATTGATATAATACTATGTAAAAGAAGTTAAATCATAATACTATTGCAAACAAACTGAGAGAAAAGTGCATATTAGATAATATATTACATGTATAATGTGTTTTCAAAAAAATTTATTAAGATTTTGTTTATATTAGGTCGTATAGAAATGTTGTTTCTGGCTATAATTTAAATATCTCTGGAATGGCTTAATATTTTCAAAA